GATCGGCAGGAGGGAGAGAATCGCACGCAGAGGGCGGGACAGATGTCCCCTGGGCGAAGGCACAACTCGATGAAGAAGACGTGAGAGACGAGACGATATGATGCGTTCTTCTACGGTGTCCTCCTCTGAGCTTCTTCCTGACCTTCTCGTTCCTTCTCCTCCTTACTTTTCCTCCTCTCCTTCTCTCTCTCTCCTCCTCTCCCTCACTCCCACTGACCCGGTTTCGTACCTGCTGTCTTCTTCTTCTATCCTTTCTCTCCATCCTATTTCCTACCATCCTCTCTCCTTTCTTTCCATTCTCTCATCTGGGTACTCCTCGTGAATCTCTCTGTCAGATGGAATAGCACGATAAGGCGAAAAATCTTGAAGAACGAGCTACCTCAGGTGCCCTCCTCCATCTGTCTCTTCCGATATTCCCCTCCTCCATCTCCACCACCACCACCACCTCCTCCTCCTCCTCCTCCTTTCCCTCCTCCTCCTCCTACTATTCCTCGTTCTCCTCCTCTTCTCCGCTCATCTCTGCTTCTCCTCTTACTTCTCTGGCGTTCAGGCTGTCGTCTCTGCTGTCAATGCCGCGGGAATCAACATCACTCCTGACACTGCAGCGTCTCCAGTCCCCCACAGCCCTTGTTCTCCTCTTCCTCCAGGCAAGACGCTGTTTTCTCCTCTTGCTTCCTCGTGCTCCCTGCTCCTCCTCCTCCCTCTCCTCGCTGCTTCTTCTCCTCCTCCTCCTTGACTTTCTGATTTGGTCTATGTACAGCTTTAGGCTTTGCCTCCTCCAGGAGTGAAAATCCTTCGCCGCTTCCAGTCATTACCAGGTGCCCCATCCCCGCCTCGAACATCAGAAGCTGACGCTGCCCTTCTCCTCCTCCTCCTCCTCCTGGTCCCCCTCCCCCTCCCCCTTCCCCTCCCCTCTCCCTCCTCCTGCTCCCTCTCCTACGCAGAAACAGGACTGGCATCGAGAACATGATTCGTCCCCAGCGTGACTCCCCTAAGCCAGACAGCAAGGAAGCAGCGAGCAAGGCGAGCAGGGCAGGAGCTGGAGGAGGACGCGGCGGAGCTGCAGGGGTAGGAGGATGGGGAGGAGGAACTCGTCCCAAGGCAGCGAAGGCCAGCAGCGGCACCAGCAGCGGCACCAGCGGTGGTGTTGGTGGAGCTGGTGGGGGTGGGGGTGGTGGAGCCGCTGCTACTGGTGGTATAGTTCGCCCAGGAACAAACAACCTCAAGGTTGATGTAAATATGCCAACAGAAGATCAGGTAACTCCTCCTCCTCCC